GTTTTTAATTAAAAACTCTCATAAAAAAAAACAGTGGGAAATTACAAAAAACGTATATTACAGAGCACAGAGAAAAGTCTTCAGGCGAAAAAGGATAGTTACAAATAACAATAAACACGACTTCTGCAACAAGTCTCTTTTCCTTACTTAAACACTCCTCCTGCAGTCCACAACGTTACCTCACTGTATCCGAGTCAAGCGACTGCCGATTGGGCAGAACACTGACCTTAATGTAGCCTGCCTGCCCCCTCCCACATTACAAAACCAATCATCAAAATAACAAACCATAATCTACATAAGCATGGCGCGTTCCTTAGGTACAAGATTTCACATTACATTCTACATTGACACATTACAATAAAATAAATTATGAGCACACTACGAAGAGTCCCACATGTCCATAGCAAATAGCTGTGGTCACATGACCCCAGACAGTTGCACTTACAGTCGGGTTCTCACCCCCGCTCCTCTGATCTGTACGTCACTCACATTTTCCTGTTCAAACCTTCTTCTAAATGCCGTAGCCTGAGGACTAAAGGGGGCGTGAACGAGACTGGGCCGATTACATTAATTGGCTCTGGGCGGGGCTGCTGATACGTCAGTCCAACTTCTGTGCCATGTTTGGCGCCAGATTCAAAATTCATAATGTAGTTTAAACAGGTCGCCAGCAGATGCGCTCACGGACGGTTTTAGGCAAAAGTCTAACTTTCAACTAATTTTGCACCATAGTTGACAAGATTAGAGACCAGGAAATGTGGACAACACGATTGGACACTCATTTATACGTTTATTCAGCAAAAAAAGTGGATTTTGAGAGTGTGTTGACCTTTAATCGACTGGCTCCTTATTTCCAGTTTTGCCCAAACGCACCGTGAGACGCCACACCTCGCCACACACAGGCGAGTGAATGACACAAGTAACAGATTTAACACACCTTGCAACGCTTCCAATGTGACCTGAAGACTCGTTCATTATGGGTAAGGTTACTGACAATAAAGACGTGCATACTACAAAAAAATTCTGCAAATTTTATTGGTATCTTGTGCAAAAACATATTTTATTATTCATGATTAAGATAAAACAAACAAAAAAATACATAATATTTCCGAATTAGAATAAAAAACTATAAAACTGTATGTGTGATTTTTGTTTTTGTGAATGCCGATTTTTTTTTTTTTGTGCTTGCAATTTCTTTTTGAGAAAACAATTTCTGCATTGGAGCAAACCGTCAATAGACGTCACAGGATCACACAGACATTAAGAAACGATCCTGCGCAGAGTTGATCCACTGTTCATTGTCACATCCAAATGTAACATGGCAGAGGACACAACATAAATAACGTGGCTCAAAATCAGGTAATATAAAAATAATTGATCATTTTGGTCGTAAATGAATGTGAATAAATATTAATTCCATAAAGTGAGCATGAAAGATGTTTCATGTCCCCTAAGGTTTTTTGGCATGTGTTAGCTCCAAAGCTAGTGTAAATATTCTTATCCTTATATTGTTTGAATTCTACAGAAAAATAATGCATTTATATGATCTAACACAACAGACTAAGACTACTTTAGCTGAACTAGTTGATAAAAGTAATGTGTCAAAGGTACAAAATATAAGATTGAGGCGCACGGGGTCTGCAACGTCCTACAACCGAGAGATAAAGCACTGAGGTTTCTTCATATTGCTCAAGGCAGTAACAGCGCGAACTATGAGTAATCAGGAGGAATTGGGGCTGGTAACAACCTGGGGAGGGTCCCGGCTCAAAACTGGCAAAAAATGACGTGCGCTGACATGCTGCAGTAACACCCCGGGCCGGTGGGGGTGGACACAGAAGTAGAATTAGCCAATGCTAACATATTAGCGTTGGCAGACCTCCTCCAAAACCGTCTTTATAACAGGATGGACCACAAGATTGGCTCTATGGCCAAAGCTCCGTTTCCACATGTGTGTCAAGGCGAGGGGGTGTTTTGGTCCACTCCTAGTTTACTTGCTGTGAATTTTTAATCACTCGATTCAAATGAATGGAGCTGCTGCTCCGCTGACGCACGCGATGCGTTTTTTTTCACAGTTTCTTGTGGGCCGGGACCACTCGCAGGGCCCATTTTTGGATTGCTCAAGTAGACACATTTTTGGCCCATTAGTTAGAACGGCGGAGATAGCGTGACTCGTCCATTACTATATACAGATCTAATGGTATCAAGCACTTTAAAACCACATGGAATCGGTGGCAAAGGCTTCATTAAATGTAAAGCAAAGAATGTAACACTGTTGGTTTAAAATAACATGCTAAGCTGTAAAACTAGCATTGAAGCTAGTGTTAACTAAACACTGCCTAAAAAAAAAAAAACTTTTCGAGGGTACAGAAACATCTTATGAACACATTTTTTGGAATTAAATATTCTTACACATTTATAAACGACCAAAATGAATCAAATATAGTATATACCTATTTATAGCCAATTGTTAATGTTGTGCCCTCATGCATGATCGCCTCTGCGCAGCTCATTGTTAATGTCTGTGAGCAGTGACGTATTATCAGAATCAGAAATCAGAATCAGAATCAGAATCATTTTATTGCCAACGTAAGGTAACAGGAGGTCACAGACATGGAATTTGCTATTGGCTCAGTGCAACATTCAAAAGAATAATAAAAATTGAGATAAAAAACACTTCTAAAGAATAAATTTAAATTTTAAAATAGAGTTAACAGTTACATTTACAATATAACAAGTGCCTACATGGTGCAGTTTTGCTACGCTGCGGATATCGTATCTTAAAAAGAAAATGCAGCACAAAAAAAACGCATCACAAAAACAAAATCACACATACAGTTTTATATTTTTTTATTCTTAATTACGAAATTCATGAAATTTTTGTTTATTATCTTAATCATGAATAAATAAAATATTGTTTATGCACAAATACCAATAAATATGCAAGATTTTTTTTGTAGACATGCAACGTCTTTATTGACAGTAACCTTCCCCCCATATAGAACCCCTGCTTCTTCAGTCACACTTGAAAGCGTTGCATGGTGTTTAAATCAGTTACAATGTGTCATTCACTCGCCTGTGGCTGGCGAGGACGTTTGCGTCTCCACGGTGCGTATTTGGCAAAACCATGGACATAAGGAGCCAGTCGCTTAAAGGACAACTAACCTCAAATTCCACTTTTATTTGCTGATAAACGGATAAATGAGTGTCCAATAGTGTTGGTCCCACAAAATAAAACCCCCCCCCCCCCCCCCTGGGTCATATCTTGTCACTTTGGTGCCAAATAGTTTTAAAGTTAGACTTTCTGGCCTAAAACCGTCCGTGAGGCAGCCATCTGCTGGCGACCTGTATAACTACATTTGAATTTGGAATCTGCGCCAACACTGGCACAGAAGTTTGGACCTGACGTCAGCAGCCCCCCGCCCAGAGCACTGTAAACGGACCAGTCTCGTTCACGCACCCCTTTATCCTCCAAGCTACGCCCATTAAGAGAAGAAGGAATGAACAGAAATATGAGTGACGTAAACTCCGAGAGCGGGGTGAGAACCACTATTAAGTGCACCTGTCTGGTCATGATGACCACAGCTCATTTGCATGGACATTTGGACTCTCGTAGTGTGCTCATAATTTATTTTAGTATTGTATATTTGTCAAAGTAGAATTTAAAAGTGAAATCATGAACCTAAGGAAAGCGCCATGTATTGTAGAAATGGTTTTTTATTAGATGATTGGTTTTGTAATGTGGGAGGGCCGCAAGCTACAATAAGGTGTCTGCCCCTTGGCCAGTACGTGACTGCGGATACAGTGAAGGTAACGTGGACTGCAGGAGCGAGTGTTAAGAAAGGGAACAGAGACTTTAGCCGAAGCGTGTATATATTTTATTTGTTCATATCCTTTTCGCTGAGACTTTTCACTGTGGCTCTGTAAATCCTTTTGTAATTTCCCACTGTTTTTTTTTTCTACTGAAGTTTTTATTAAAAAACTTCTGAAAACCCCTTTCCTCCCGACCCAGCCATGTGTTCTGTAAAAAGACCCATCACAGAACATTTCTGATTAGCTTGAGTCAAACAAAAACTTTTAATGTTTCTGTTTATTATGGAACATGTACAAAACAAACTTCTCTGGCCTGTCAAAGAGTCAAACAAAATCTACGTTTTTCTATAATTCTATTTGTTTATTTACAGTGCTATCTTGTTATTCCACTCCATCGCTCTCATCTCTCTCTCTGTCTCTACTCTCCTTTCATTTCTCCTTGTCCTGTGTCTCTCTCTGTCTCTGTCCCTCTTTTTCCTCTCTCTCCCCTCTTTCTTTCTGTCTCTCTCACTCTGTCTCCTCTCTCATCTCTCACTCTGACTCACTCTCTTCTCTCTCTACTCTCTGTTTACTCTCTGTTTCTCTCTCTCTCTCATCAGCTCACTCTGTCTCCTCTCTCTCTGTCTCTCTCTCTCTTTCTATTTCCTGTTTCTGACCTCTTTTATCTCTCTCTCTCTCTTTTCTCTCACTGCTCTTCTCTCTCTCTCTCTCTCTCTCTTCTCACATCTCTTTTCTCTCTCGCCTCTCTCTCTGTCTCTCTCTGTCTCTCTCTGGCTCTGTCTCTCCTCTCTCTGTCTCTCTCTCTCTTTTCTATTCTCTGTTTCTGTCCCTCTTTTTCTCTCTCTCTCTCTTCTCTCTCTGTCTCTTCTCTCTGTCTCTCTCTCATCTCTGCTTTATCACTTTTTCTCTCTCTCTCTCTTCTCGTCTCTCACTGTCTCTCGCTCTCTCTGCCTCTCCTCTCTTTCTATTTCTCTGTTTCTGTCCCTCTTTTTCTCTCTCTCTCTCTTTCTCTCTCTTGGGTTTTCTGTCTCTTCTCTCTCTCTCTCACTCTCTCTGTCTCTCTCAACTTCCCTCTCTCTATCTCCTCCTCTCTGTCACTCTCTGTCTCCTCCTCTTGGGCTCTCTCTGGTCTCCTCTCTCCTCTCTCCAACTCTCTCTCTCTCACTCTGTAGAGCAGCTGTTGTGGGTTATAGATGACCTCATTAGAATGCGGCCCGCGGCCGGTCGGGGGAGACTTTGATGACTTCTCCAAAAATGCAACGGCACCAACCTCCACCACGTTCTCGAGTGCCAAAGAAGCGCCAAAAAAACGCTCCAACGGTTTTCGCTCTCAAAGTGAAGGAGAGAAGAAAACGGTGAAGAGTGATAGGAACATCGTGATGTTCCTAAACGTACCAGCACTTGATGAAATATCAGGTTGTTTTTTGAAATGGTTCGTCATTCAGATCATTCAATTCAATGTATTTTTGATACACAGCAAGTATGGCCTGGTCGTACCACACCCATCATACTCATTTCATTTCATGCAGATGTCTGTAATTTTCTCCACAGAGACCCCATGAACAGGTGGGCGGGTTAACTCCCTTTTGCAGATTGAAACGATTGGATATGAGTTTTTATTATCGTGCCTGAATACTCAATAACCATTTAAGCATTTGGCCTAGCTTTAGGCATTTAGCCTAGCTTAAGCCATCTCGGAGCCCGTGGGATTGAGCAACAACATCTTTGCATCAATGACTTTTTTGCTAAACAATCCTTTGCTCGCTTCAATTTCTTGATCTTTGGAGCTGAACCAGAACAGGTTATTTTACTATCCATTCTCTCTATTGTTAAACAACAACCAGAAAATTTTGCCGCAAACTCTGACATCCCCCCGACACATCCCTCACTACAAAACCTCTCCTCCCCTGCTCTCTGATTGGGTCTGTGCAGGTGATTCAACCGAGGAAACTGGCAGCCCCCTATGATCGACCCAACGAACATGGTAGGTAATATCACGACCAGTAGTTTTTTGTAAAATATCAACTGTTTTTTACATATTCTTTTGTTGATAAAGTTCATAACATTTCTTTGAATGTAGAACGCCCAGGATGAGGAACGAGCATCTCCCATGGAGTACTCCAGGCCGGGAAGACAAGTCCACAGGGGCCTATGGAGGAGGCCGGGGGACAGTGGCGAAAAGACAACGGGACACCCACCTGCGTACGGCACAACCATGCCCCAAAACATCTGGCCCGTTGCCAAACTTAGAGCCGTCTAAAGCAAACAACTATCACGGCTCATGTTCCCATGTATTCACTAGGTGCTGTCTTTATCTTTTATATCAGCGGCAGCAGCTGCATTCTCAAGCCTTCATTAGACAATAATGCACCATCTGAAATGTGACTTTACACGTGACCATAATCTTAATACTTGCCGACAAAATATGGCATAATGACACGAAAACGGTTATTTTCCAGAACCGACACTAAGAATTTACAATTTTTGTGTTGGCATTAAATCTGTCAAAATCTAGAGGGAGCAAGTTTTTAATGAGTCATCCAGCATTAATTTGTATACTAAAATCAGAGCTACATTTTAAAAATCTAGGTTATCGCCTTCGGGAGTTAAGGCAAGGCTGAGGCAAAGGCAAGTTTATTTTATAGTAGCACATTTCATACACACACCAAAAAAGGCAACTCAAAGTCAGAACAAAATAAGGAAAAGCATTAAATCATAAACTAGAACTTGCAATGGCGAAGCCATTGCGATTGAACTGCGGAACAGATCTAATGTGGAAATCCTGCTAAAAAAAGCCTAGAAATCCTATTAAAAGGCCTTGAAACTGTTAAAATACTTGATAGATAATTGAAACACCTGAAGTCTGAAAAATTTGAAACCTTTAAACTCCTGAAATCCTTTGAAAACAGTTGAAAACATTGAAACTCCGAAATCCTTGAAACTTTTTTAAAACCTGGAAACGTGATTGAAAATGGGAAACTCACCTCCTGAAATCCTTTGGAACCTCCTGATATCCTTGAAACTGGTTAAATTCTTAAACATTGAAATCCATGAAACTAAACTGAAATGTTATAGAAATGTCCTTGAAACTGAAAAATCCCCTCACCACATACCCTGAACAAATTGGTTCCTGTAACTAAGGAACCATTTCTGTGTTCATTATCTGGTTGTGGTCCTGAGTCCTTCGTTGGGTCTTGGGACTGTGGTATAATGCACCTATTAGGTTGCATTATTACTGGTTTTACATGGAAAACATCGCCTATTAGGTTGCATTAAACTGTTAACATGGAAAAAATCCCTATTAGGTTGCATTATACTGTTTACACCATGTACCACATCCCTATTAAGTTGTCTTTATAACTGGTTTACATGAAAACCCCTATTAGGTTAACTTAAACCTTGGTTACATGTAAAAACCCCATATTAGTCCATTATACAGGTTTACATGTAAAAAACCTATTACGTTGATTTATTCTGTTTACAAGAAAAAAAAAACCTTTAAGTTGCATTATACTGGTTTACATGGTAAAATCCCTATTAAGTTGCATAATACTGTTTTATACATGGAAAAGAAATCCCCATATAAGGTTGCAATTAATACAGGTTTACCTGAAAAAACCTATTAAGTGCATTATACTGTTTTACATGGACAAAACTCCCTATTAAGTTTCTTGTACTGGTTTACATGGAAAAATCCCTCTTAAGAGTTGCCATTATAACTGGTTTACTGGAAAAAACCCTATAAATACCATTATATGGTTTACATGTAAAAAACACCCTATTACAATTGCATTAATACTGGTATCACATGAAAAAAAAACCTATTAAGTTGCATTATACTGTTTACATGGAAACATCCCTATTAAGTACATTATACTCGTTTTACATGTAAAAACTCCCCATTAAGTTTGCATTATACTGGATTACATGAAAACACCCTATAAAGTTGCATTATACTGTTTTACATGAAAAATCCCTATTAAGTTGTCATTATACTGGTTTACAAGGCAAAAATCCCCATTAATTTGCTTAAACTGTTTACATGGAAAAAAACCCCATTAAGTTGCATTATACTGTTTACATAAAAAAACCCTCTTAAGTTGCATTATAACTGGTTTACATGTACAAATCCCTCTTAAGAATCATTATACTGGTTACATGTAAAAACCCCAATAGGTTACATTATACTGGTTTAACATGAAAAAACCCCTATTAAGTACCATAATACAGTTTACAGTAAAAAACCCTATTAATTTGCATTATACCTGGTTTACAATGAAAAAAAAAAAACCTATTAAGTTGCAATTATACTGGTTTAACAATGAAATAATCCCTATTTAATTGCATAATACTGGTTTACATGTAAAAATCCCCATTAAGTTCATTATACTGTTACTTGAAAAAACCCCTTTAATTGCATTATAACTGGTAACATGGAATAATCCCTATAAAGTTGCATTGTACTGGTTTACATGGAAAAATCCCTATTAAGTTGCATTATACTGGTTTACATGGAAAAATCCCCTATAAAGGTAGCATAATACTGTTTACATGGAAAAATCCCCCCATATAAGTTGCCTTATACTGGATTACATGAAAACAACCCTATTAAGTTGCATTTTACTGGTTTACGGGAAAAATCCCTATTAAGTTGACATCTAATACTGGTTTACAAGGAAAAATCCCCATTAATGCATTATAACTGGTTTACATGAAAACAACCCTATTAAATTGCATTTATAACAGGTTTGTAACAAGGATAAAATCCTACTATATAAGTTAGCATCTTCTGGTTTTACATGGAAAAATCCCTATTAAGTTTGCATTATACTGGTTTACATGGAAAAAACCCTATTAAGGTACATTCTAACAGGGTTTACATGTAAAAAACCCCTATTAAGGGTTGTCATTATATCCTGGTTTACATGTAAAAATCCCCATTACTTTGCATTATACGGTTTTACATGAAAAAAAACCCTATTTAAGTATGCATTAATACTGGTTTCATGAAAAAACCTTCTATTAATTGCATTATACTGGGTTTACATGGAAAAAATCCCCTATTACAGTTTGCATTATACCTGGTTTTACATGGAAAAATCCCTATTAGGTTGCATGAATTAGCACTGAATCCTTGAAACTGCTGAAGTCCTTGAAACTGCCCCCAATGGAAAGTTTTCCCCCCCACACACCTTGAAACTGCTGAAGTCTTTGAAACTGTTGAAGTCCTTGAAAACTCTTGAAAACTTGAAACTGCTGAAATCCTTTGAAAACTGTTGAATCCTTGAAACTGTTGAATCATGAAACTGTAGAAATGTCTGAAAGAGCTGAAGTCCTATAGAAATGCATGGCCTAATTAAAATGCAATTGCAGAATTCTCAATTGCAGATTTTTGTCCGAATTGCGGAAAAACCCCCCCCGGGAAAAAAAATTCGCTGAAGTCCCAAAAGAAAATAGCAATAATCTCCCAAACCTGTGGAACGTTTTGATGTATCAACTTGTGAGAAATTGTTGAAAATGTGAAAGCTGTGAAACCGTGTCAAAAAAATGACGGAATAAAAGAAATACAAAACCAATGGTTGACTGCGGAAGGTTCCCAGTCAATCAATAAACACTCTCTCCGTTGTACACAGCTAAACAGACTGTCTTTAACCTGGTTTAAACATTGTTCCCTGAAGGAGGCCTGTCCTCACATCTTCAGGAAGACTGTTCCAGATTTTAGCAACAGGAAGCTGAAAAGCAGCCTCCCCATGTTTAGATTCTGGACTCTGGGAACTAACAGGATCCAGTCCCCGTGCTCACTCAGAGTCCCACAGGAGTCCAGTCCCTGTGCTCCTCAGAGTCCCAGCAGGAGTCCCAGTCCCTGGTCTCCTCAGTAGTCCCAGCGGAGTCCAGTCCCTGTGCTCCTGCAGAGTCCCAGCAGGATCCAGCTCCCTTGCTCCTCAGAGTCCCTGCTGGTCATATGGGACTAACAAGTCCAACAAATAATATTGGTCAGAGGCCATAGAGAAGACTTGTAACAAGCAAGCTTTTAAAGTCTATTCACATGAGTCCACAGGAAGCCAGTGCAGACTGACTAATATGGACGTACTTTGCAAAGTTAGTATGCTTTTGTGATTAGTACTATATTTCCCAGATGCATTATGTGTTGGTATTACTATTTTGAAAAATCACTGTATTTTTTTTCACCTCACAAAACCAACTTCATTTTTATGAATGGCACTTACAACATCCATTTTGAAATATTTGCAATCCACTGAGGCCACTGGTATACAAAACCACTTGTGAAGAGAATGCTTGAATTTTAAGACATCATAGGGCCTGTCCCGGTTTCCGAAATGGCTAAAAAAACTAAGATGACTGCGCATGCGCGCATTGTTTCGGACAAACACTCACTTTGATACACCTCTTGAGTTCTACTGTGTTTCTCCTCATACGCTGTGTATTTACGTTGGGCTAAATCATTGAATCAAGGTGACAACCAAAACACTGCAGTTATGTGCTAATGTCGGAGCGATTTCAGATACCTCTTAAAAGGACTATAGGAAAGTAACAATCAACCCGATACGTTAAACCACCACATCGGACCAGACCGATGACCAGACCAGGACCAATCCTACCAGGTTGGTTGCTTGTGGTCGCAGAATTTCTCTCATGAAAAGGTTCAAAAGGGCACATGTTTTTCAAAACACTTCGCTGGACCAACTGTGGGAGTATCCAAATCCAGGTCCCAGCTAAACTAAGCTAGGACTGGATCTGGATACTCCACAGTTGTCCCAGCGAAGTGTTTGAAAAAACAGGTGCCTTTCCCCCCCTTTTTAACCTTTTTCATGAGAGAAATCTGCCGACCACCAGCACCCCACCTGGTCTGATTCTGTCCTGGTCTGGTCCTGGTCTGGTCCGATGTTGGTGGTTTTAACGAACGGGTTGAATGTTACTTCATATAGTCAATTTCAGATATCTTGAAATCGCTCCGACAAGCACCATAACTCATTTTTTGTTGTCCACCATGAATTCACAAGATTTAGCCCAAATAAATACACACGCGTAAATAGGAGAACACAGTATAACTCAACGAGTCGTACACAATGTTTTGTCCGAAACATGCGCTCTGCGCAGTCCTCTGAGCTATTTTTGCACATACGGAAACCGACAGTGCCCAAAGATGTCTTAAAATACAAGGCCCATCTCTTCACAAAGGTTTAGTATACCAAGCTGGCCACAGAGATGCAAATAGTTCAAGGATGTTGTAAGTGCCAT